TGTGTGTGTGTGTGTGTGTGTGTGTGTGTGTGTGTGTGTGTGTGTGTGTGTGTGTGTGTGTGTGTGTGTGTGTGTGTGTGTGTGTGTGTGTGTGTTGCTAAGGCTTTTCAGTGTGTCGAGTTGCTGTCCAACAAAAATGTTTACTAGCTCCTAACCTTTGTAGTTGGAAATGTATTAAGCCATGCTTTACAACATTTTAAACGTTTTCTGATGAGTTTGGGATTGATTACAACTGAGCACTACAATTTAATTTACCAAAATCTGTTATGTGCAGATCTGCAGAATATCAAGAGTAGGACTATCGATTTCAAAACAAAACTGAATGACCTGTTATACAAACTGAATAATGCAGACTTCCTAAAGGTAGAACCTAATTCAATGTTCTTCATGGTGAGCACACCTGACTCATTGCCTGACTCTGAGTATTGGTGAGTTCCACCGTCCATGACAATGTGCTACAAACAGAACTTAGAACAGACAACAAACACTTCAACAACAAGCTTACAGTATATCAGATCTGCAACACATGACGCTTAATAAAATAAAATATTAACTAAATATTACTATTAATTAATTGGATATTAATCAACAAAAGGCAGTTTATTGAATAACGTTTTTAAAATGTTGCCAGTAATCACTTAAACCTTTTTAAACCAACTTTTTGTGTTACTACCATCTTTAACAGCAAGTTTAAAATTCCAGTTTTTGTGGAAAAAACAGATTAATAATTTGTAAGATTGTAACAGTTTAAGTACAGATTTAGTAACACCATGCAGCCTGTACCAGTCACTCAAGAAAACTGAATGGATTATTTAGCAGTGATTACATATATTGCTTGCTTTTTATATTTAAATGCTGAGAAACAGATAGATACAATAACACGGTAAGACAAAGAGCAAGTCCCTCACATTTTTCGTGGCTGCATTTCAGGATCTTCAAAAAAAATGATATGCTATTTGAACTGTTTCCTCGTATTTCCAGGGGATTATATTTTAGTCCACAGGATCATATTTACAAAAAAACATGTATTATTTATTTTGCTTTTTAGGTTGAAGTGTACACCGTTCTAATTTTGAGTTGTTTTGATATATTTGCTCATATTCCAACTATTATCAACAAATCTGCAGACGATAGCTGGAATATTATCCTTTGTTAAAAAGATGTTAAAAAGTATTTTTTTAAAAAAAAACGTATTCCAGATTTAACACGTTCATGACAGGTGGGGCGCTAGAATTGATTCAAATCAAAGGATATACCACGCCCGATGTCCTGAAGGGGTTAAAACGTAATCAGTTAATATAATTCCTGTTAGCTATTTCTTATGCCACTTCCCTACATGACTAGTAATAGGGGTGGGCAAAAAGAATAGAAAGGCGGAAGCTGGTAATTTTCTTTTTGCACAATGAAAACTTGGCTGTTCCCACCAAAAGATTTGTGAGAAGCGAGTGATGTCTGCATTGAGTTTTGGGAGCAGATCAGAGGTTGGTTATTATTGTAATATCAGCTCAGGCAGCGGCAATGCATCATCAGTGAGCCTGAAGAGTCAGGATATCGCTTAGCTACAACGTGTCAATTATCCAAAGTCAGCTACTGGCCACTGCTTTATACACTTTAGACAGAAACATAAAGAAAATGAATCTAGTGTTGCTTTGCGCAGATGTTACATATTTGCAATGCAGTAGTACCTTTCAAATGAAAATGACCACACTGGTCTGTCCCTCTCTCATTTACCAGTGCTACCTCCCCTCAAAGTTACAGTACCATATGTACCCGTTATCTTTCTGACAATGTATCTGGTAAATAGAATCCCTGGATGCCATTAAATATATTTGGGCATGTAAGAATCTCACTTAATCTTTCATGGTTAATATTTTGGTTAACAAATTATGTCCATTCATTGTCGTCTTCTAAACAAAGAATTAGGCATTTTATGAAAACAATCAATAAATTAAGGAAGAAATAAAAGAAAAATATAACTGGACACAAAATCAATCTTGTATTTATCAAAAATATCTATCTCACCTTGGACCACATTTTTAAAATTCCATACAGCTATTGAGAATAGTGTCAGTATGTGCGGCTTCAAGCAATAACATTGTCAACTGAGTATCCATTAAAAGTCAGGTAAGAACAATGGATGGATGAATGGGCGGACAGGCAGACAATTATCTAATTATCTAAGCGTTCTTTTTAGCTTTTTTGAGTGCTTACTTTACAAATAAGAAAAATATGTTTATTTGTAGGAAATAAAGCATTCCATATGCATTACTAATCGAGTAGAATCCTAGACGAATCGTGGAAAATATTTGACACAAGCGTTCTATCAACAGGTTTTAAGCATTACACCATTTTAGCTTAAAAGGCAAAATCTGAGTAATCTTTGTTATTGATTAAGCTTCATTATCTAATGGATGCAAATATCTCTAAAATGGAACAAATAAAAGTATCTGTCTTCTCAATGAATTTTATGTAGAATGATTTGGAGTTAGAGATTAAGAAGGCTTCCCTTATAAATAATCTCTAAAACAAAAAAAAACACACACAAAAAAAAAACAGATTTCTCTATCCCCCTGTGTTACCCATTTTCTAACACCTTTGCCGAAACCCAATTTCCCATATTTCATTTATTTGGAATTCACCTTCCCTTATCACACTGTGGATGATCCTATCAGGATGCTAATAAGGCCAAACTGGTTAATTCATATTCGAACCCAGTTCACTGATTTAACCATTTTAGCCCCAGTCAGATGTAGCCAAAGCCTAGATGCTGAAAGGCTTAATTCCTGCTTATAGAAATAACACAGCAGATAGCTAACTATAACATCCAACACGCAATTAGTTCGTGATATGTCCTTGCGTACGACTGCAAAATTCTGCTAAATCACACATGGTCCTTTTATAGATCTGCCTCGGCAGGGAATAAGTAAATAATCTTTTGCAAACAAAGCGTTAACATTATCCGACTTACATGTTGATGCTACAAGATGATATGGATCATTAAAGTACAGTGATGTTTAATACTCCAGGCAATCAGTCCTGCATTATACACACCAAAAGGATATCTATTTCCCCAGCTCAAACCCTATAACCCTAACGTTCACATGTCCTAATTTCCATATTTTATCCAATTTAACTGGCAGCTTTAATCTCCAGTGTCCATTGGGAGCAGTATTTACCTTACTCGCTCCATTAAGTTCCAGCTATAACTGAAAGCCCCTGGGAGACTTTATCCTGCATTTCATTCTGTTAGCTGGCAATTTCATGCTTACCCAAGACACCTCAGGCAGTCTCCCTCTTCCAAAACCAAACACTTGCCTGAACTGTGGCACAGCCCCTTCCCCATATATCTTTTCCCCAGACACACGCACACACGCAGACACAGACACACAAAATGTATAGCTATCCAGGACCACTTGTTCACTAAATTTAATTTACTCACAGTGTTTGTTGTTGTTGTTTGTTGCTTTTTTGCTCTGTTCCTGTACCTCTTACGTGTTTGTTTATTTATTTAATTAAGCAAGTTCATGAAAAATGACTTTGTTTATAATAGATCAGCCACTTTGACGATGAAACTCATCATTTTAATAACCCTTACAGCGACACAGAAATCACTGATTGTTTTTCTCTATTACTTTGTGACAGAAAAATGGCTTTAAAAATGACAGAAATTGCGGCTAGTTAATATGTATGTGTCTATCGAAACCTAGAATATAAACTTCAGTCATATCATGCCCTTGATTTTCTTCACTTCTCAGGAAACTGGAGTGTCTAATGTCTCCCTGTGCCCTGCTAGTAGGACCCTGTAGCACCCATGCCTGCCCTGCACCCCATTCTCGGGATATAGTCCAGTTAAACAATCTAACACTGCAGATCGCCCCCTACCCCTGATCCCAGGCTCGCAGTGCCCATTCACAGAGACCTGGCTGCCATTCATGGTGCCCTGGGTGGGTGACTGTGGGATCTATCTAATTACACTTGTCAGCCAGCTACACCAAGAAACGTTTCGGTTCCACTGGATGATTGTAAAAGGGTTTGACTCACTGATGACCCCAGGGTCGGGGCTTCAGCTCAATAATCCTACTCTAAAAAAACACAAAAACACTCTGCTTCATGCCCGCTTCTATTCATCTTAATATCTGCTGACAGAGAACATTTAGACAGGCTAAAGAGCTCCTGTGGGAAGCAGACTCTCCAAGTTTCAGATCCACCTGTGATTGCACGAATAAAGCTTGTTTATTTCACTGCATGCATACCTACATACATAGTCTGAACACACCTACATAGTTTATTCACTCAAAAACAGTGTAGTGAAACTGATAACTGAATTGCAAAATGTATGCTGATATGGGTGGAACAAATCACAATTTGGTTATTTTAAATTAATTTAGCTACGTGGTTTTCAATCCACTACAAATTGCTATTTAGTTAAACTGTCACTTATTAAATCACACTTTACTTCTGCAACAGGCTAAATCAATTTTAAAAATGCATCAATAACA